TTTGATTGTACTGTAGTATATCATTCATGTAATACAACTAAAATTGCCTTGAGAAGTCTGGGGCCTCACGATCATGATGTTACATAGGATTTTTTCCTGAAGAAATAGCTAGAAGCTAAGTAAAAAAGAGAATGTTGGCTTTATAAGGAAGTTTATGTTACCAGAACCTCTACAGTTAGTTTGTCATTGAAAAGAGACATTGATTCTAACACTGATCAGTTGAGCTTCTCAGTCTTGGGTGGGGGGCGCTTTATCTGGTTTGGGTATTTATAACCATTGAGCACGCATCTGCAGTGGAAACTTCTACAGTGACAGCAACTTGTTGTTTTGGTTTTTCATTCAGTTTTAAGTTTTTACTGTAGCCAGAACTGTCTGTGATTTACAAGAAAAAGACAAAACAGGTTTTTATACAAAATGAGAGATGATACTGAGCCACAGTGTGGTTGTTTCACTATAGGCAGAAAAGTCTTAGTTATTTTGATGAATTTGTTTTCAGAACAAACTATCATTCCATAATTGCATAGTGGTAGTAAATTAGGACAGTGGGTAAGAGACACTTAAGAATTCCCTGACCGTTTCTTGGGGTGTCATTGCACCTTTTTTTTCTCTTAAGGAGTTTAACGCTGCACCATCAACCCAGTGCCACTGGCCACGTGGTGCTTTAGAGCACTTGGAACGTGGCTCGTCTGAACTAGGTTGTGCTCAGAGTGTGAAATCCACACCAGAGCTCCAAAGACTTAGTATGAAAAAAAGTAAACTATCTCAATAATTTTCCCTATTAATTACATGTTGAAGGTATAACCTTTTAGATATACTGAGTTAAATAAATACATTTAATTTCACCTGTTCCATTTTACTTTTTGTAATATGGCTACTAGGAAATTTTAAATTACCTTTCCATAGGCCAGCACTGGCTTCAAGGGTATCAGAAGATATTTAAGTCAAAACCACCGGTACTAGATCTCTTAGCCTTTCCATTTGTTTTTCAGCCTATTGTAAGCTAGCTTTTTCTCGCACCATTTTACTAAAAGTTCCTTTCTTTGAGTTCGCTCATGGTCATCGTTCTTCCCCTTGTCCCATCTGATGGCGCTCTTCTCCCGGTTTCCTGCTCTAGTGTTACACCTGGGTTCTCGCTCGCAGACCAGTGTCTCTCCTCTTTCCTGACTCCTGGTGTTTACCCCGAAACGTAGTTATCAGCCATCCTTCCTCTCGGCCCACTTCTCTTCTTGCTGTACACTCTCCCTCTCGTTTGCTTCCATGCTCTTAGCCTTTCCTGTGTGCCGCAGGCCCCCAAAGCCGTGTCCCCGGCCTTGCTGTCTCTCCAGGCTGAATTTCCAGCTGTCCTGGCTGGTCCCGGGAAAGCTGAAGCGATGGTCCTCTCTGCGGACCCCGTGTGTCAGTCAGCGAACGACACCGTGCCCTCTTCCTGCCCCTACACGGCATCAGTCATGACGGCCTGTGGATTTTGCCTCTGTTACGTGTAAAATTTCTTTCCTTTCATTCCATGCTTCATCATATCTTCCTCACTCTGTCTCTCTCCCCCTAGAGACTTTTAAAAACAGGCTAAAGGCACGTTTTTCAGAAGGCTGTTTCCAGCTGCGTGGTTGTATTTGACAGTCCCTTGCACATCGTGCTGTGTGCTGGCTCCCCTGTGTACTTTGGCCTGCGGTCTTGCCTTTCCCTGGAATGTCCTCTGTCCCTCCCCTTGCTCTGCCTTCTGCCAGGCACTCCTGAATGGCCCACAAAGCCCTGCGAGTCCTGTCCCCCAACCCCATTTCCTTCCAGCCTCACACCTGTCCCTCACCTCTGTGCGCGTCTTCAGCTCGCAGTTCTTCCCTCTGCCACCCCCAACCCCGATAGGCTCCGCCATGACTGGCTCCTTCCTAACATTGGTCTGCCCTCAAGTACGCCGCCTCCGGGAAGCCTTCCCTGACTGCCCTGGAAATAGCATCCGCACACATACATACCCGATGGGCACTCTCTCGCTCCTTCCCCCACTCTGAGTTCTCTGCAGAGCTTAAAACAACCTGAGGTTGTATTATTTATTTGTACTTATTTGACCCTATTGGAATATAAGTCTCCAAAGGAACGGAGGACTTGTTTTCTGCCATTTCCTCAGGTCACAGCTCACTAGGCAGTCAGTAAAACTTTGCGGAATAAGTGGTGAAATCCTTTTTCCCTGTCAGGGCTGCTGCCCTACCTCCTCAGGAACCCTCCAAGGCAGAATCATTCCGTCTTGTTCATTTCTTGCCTGAGTGCTTTGTCAACTGCAGCTCCTGAGCTAGTTGAGCCCGACAGGCCCATCTGTCTTCTGAGTATGAACTCAGGACAGTAGGGGCTTGGCATTACTCATAGTTATGGTACCACCTGTCCTGACACAAAATAGAGACCCTTTAAGGGTTTCTTTGTAGTTAGTCACCTTTCCTCTTTTCACTTACTGGGCGAGTAGCAGTGCGGGCCTGCCGGGTGCTGGGCCCTGAGCCCCGTGACGTCACCATGGCCAGGACTGTGGCTCCTGTTCCCACTGAGCTGTATGTAGCCTCTTCCCCTCTGTTTCTGAATCCAGACTGAGATAAACCTACAAGCATCTTCATAATAGAAAAGAGTAGGCCGGATGGCTGGCTCGACAGTAAGACCCGTTTCAAAGAGAGGGCCCCCCTGTACCTCAGCATCCTCTGTCATAGGGCAGCCCTTCACGTTGCTGCTTCCCTGCCGTGTTAGGTCTTCTCGCCAAGTTGACAGTAGGCAGAGCAGAACAGAGAAGAGCGTCCCAGGTGGCGGGGGTACGATGACAGGCATCAAAGGGGAGAGGTTAGGTGAAGAGTTGGTTGAAGGGACCTGAGCCAGAGAGAGAGGCTGTGAGTCCAGAGGGGCAGGTGGTCGTCGGCCTTGGGTGCAGGTGGAGGTGCGGGGTAGGAGTGGGGCAAGGAGAGGGGGAGCCTCCAGATCAGGCTCTGGGGGCCCAGCAGTTAGCGGGCGGGTCGCAGGAGACGGGCCAACAGCAGCAGCCGGGGAGTTAGCAGGAGAACCAGGACGGTGTTCTGTTCTGGAAGCCGAGAGAAAAGGAGCTGGTGAACAGGGAGGGAGCAGCAATGTGAAGCGCCACTGAGACGGCGCAGGTGCTCAGAGGAGAGCCCTGAGGGTGCCGCACCTTGGCTTGGACCGACCTGGGCGGTGACGAGAAGACGGAAGCCGGAAGCCGGATGGAGCGGTTGCGTGGTAGTGGCAGGAGAGGACCGTGAACATCACTGCCACCCTCTAGAGAACCGCGCGGCGGAGGAGACCGAAACGCCTGTTAACAGAACAACGTGCCTTGTACGAGACGCCGGGGAGGCGAGAGGGGCCGGGGGAGGGGAGGGCAGAGAGGGCTTCGCAGAGGAGACGCCACCCTGTGCTGGAGGGAGCCGTGAGGATAAATTTGCCAGGCCACCGGGGAGGGGCCTTCCCGTGCAGAGGCCTGAGGTGTGGGCCGTGGGTCTTGTTGAGGGACTACAGCCCGAGTGATTTGGAGCGCAGACTCCCCGCAGAATGGTGACAGGAGAGTCATCTAGAAAGGGAGGGAGGGGCCGGAGCACGGAACATTCTGGACGCTCTAGTGAAGTACTTACACTTTATTGGTGCCAGCGTCCTCAGTTCACCTTTGGAAGTACTCTTAACGGCCAAAGACAGTAAGCGCCGACCCATTCTGAAGCGCGCATAAGCCTCTTTCAAATCTCATATTTTATTTTAAAAATTGGGATGAATTTTACATTCTAGTCCGTAATGTATCAGCTTGACTTTTTATGCAAAGATGTCCTAGTTATTTTCAGCTGAGCAAAAATGACTCCAGGAGTGCGAAGCTCATTGGTCCTCTGGGTGGCGCTTACCACCGCCGTGTACATCCAACCCGCCCCGTCCCCACTGGAGTGTGTCTCTTGGCGAAGAACAGCCAGACGACCACAGGGAGAGTATCACGATCAGACTTACGATATGGGAAGGTTGTCGTACGTGGAGGATGGGTTGAAGGTGGGGAAACTACAGACGGGGGGGTAATGAAATCCCAGATTTCATGCAGTGGGAATACTGAGATTTAGGAAATAGAATTCGCATGACTGGTGGCTTCACTAGATGTGAAAGTGGTGGAAAATGAAGGGGACAGAGAACTTTAGGACGATTCCCCAGTGTCTGACTTGAGCACTGAGGCTGGGAATACAGAAGAGAGCAGTGGGTTTGGTGCCCGAGGTGTGTATTGCATTGAAGGCCTTGCCAGGCGAAAGGAACCGATTTTAATTGGCGCTGTGGGTCCGGAGAGGGCTTAGGGTAGAAGTGATCAGCATGGAAGTGGTGGCTAAAGCTTTGATAGTAGATGAAATTGCTGAGAAATAGAACGCAGAGTGTCAGGAGAAGAGGGCCAGCCAGCAAGAGATCTTGGGCAACACCACTGTTTAAAAGCAGAGCAAAGAAAACAGTCGTGAGAAAAATGGAGAGGGAGGAATAGATCCAAGAGGGTATATAAGGACGACCAGTAGTTCCAAATCGTCCCTCCGTCAGTGCCTGCAGGAGCCCCACTGGACTTGGTGGGCCTTCGATTATTAAAGACATGGTGACCTTAGTGAGAGCAGGTCGGGTACAGGGGGCAAATCCCGATGCAGCTGGATTGAGATGACCTCGCTTTCAAGAAGTTGAGCTTTGAGGGAGTGAGTGTGTTGGCTAGAAAGAGATGCAGGGTCATGGGGGGAGGATTTTTTTTTTAAGTGGTTTGGTTTGGTTTTTAAGATGGGAATAGATGCAGTTACATGCTGACGAAGAGCCGGTATAAGGGAAGAGATGCTACGAGGCCTGCTGCCTTACACACAGGAAGTACGCTGTAAAAACAGCTGTCTGACGAATGACTGTCTACTGTTAAATTTCTCGCTCTCAGTTCCACAGGTGAAATTTGTATGTTTTATGGGCTACCCGCTCTTTATGATGCTCTTCATACGCAATCGCGGTTTATTAATTTGGGGGGTGTCATTTTGTAGCCCCAGAATATTCTGCTGACAAGTGACTCTCCACTGGGTGACATTAAGATCGTTGATTTTGGTCTTTCACGAGTACTGAAGAACGGCGAAGAGCTCCGGGAGATTATGGGCACTCCCGAGTACGTGGGTGAGTATTCCCGAGAGTTGCGTGTTTTGTGTTTGGGGTCAGGCATCACCCTCACTGGGGAACCCACATGTGGCGTGATGAGTGGTGGGGCCTGCCGTCCAGTGTGGTGAAATTCTACCATCAGAGATCCCTTCCTTTGTATTAAGTTAAAAAATGGAAAACTTTAAAGAGTAAGGTACCAAATTGGCGGTCCCTTTCCTGGAGGGCTAAGAGAAGCCGAAGGGATTTGCTTCTACAAGGAACAGGAGAGGATGTCAGGTTATCTGAGGGTGGAAGGATATTTAACAAGCAAGGCGCTTTCAAGAATTGCAAGTTGGTAGAATAAACAGTGTGAGTCATTGCAAGCCCTGTGATTGCATAGATGTGGGAAACAGAGGGCATTCTGCTGGGTTGATGCAGGGCTGACAGCTTCTGGCAGAAAGAAAAAGAGAGCAGCCGAAGTGATGAACCATGGCTTCTCGGTTTGGTAGAAAAAGTGGTAAACTATGACTTTTTGGATAGACTGGAAGGAAAATGGAGCATAAAAGAATTAGTGGTTGGATGAGGTTAAAGAAAAAGAGAGATTTCTGTAGAAGAGCAAAGCAGTAAAATAATTTAAAGGTGTGACCGGGGATTACAGTTTTATCATTTAAAATGTCCGAGTAGAAAGGGCTCTTTGTGATTACAAGGCCTTGGATGTAGCTCTGCAAGGTCAGCTTCGCTTCTTTAGACCAGGAGGTCGAGAAGCGCGGGTGCCGGGCCGGTAGGGTCCTGCACATCAGTGTGGAAGCTGCCCAGGGTGATGGCAGCCCGGGGAGGAGGATGGCTTTTGTGTCCGTGGGTGAGAGCATCATTGTGACCAGGAGTAGAGAAGGCTGTGGCCCGGGCCTGGGGGGAAGAAGGAGATCTGCCTGAGGGCAGAGGTGTGAAGTGGGCGGACAGGGCGTCTCCTTCTGGAAGGCCTGGGGGCGTGGCAAGAAGGTGGTGAAAGGAGAAGAGTAGTCCTTGAAGGAGCCCAGGATGGTGGGAATTTATGTAGGAAGGAAAAAAGGATTCCAGGGGGACACAGAAAGTCCCGGGGGACAGGTCGGGTTGAGGAAAACAAAGCTGTAGGGGAATGACAGTACAAAAAATACTTTGAAGTTTTAAAATACTTTCTAAAGTCCTGCAGTTTGAAACAGCAGAGCCTTTATTAATTAGGTAATAAAAGACATCGCAGGCAGAAAAACACCCTTCAAATAGTGTGTGTCTTTTGTGGACTAGAACACAATTTCCAGTACGCCAACTGGTACGTCTCACGACCGCGGAGTTAGTGTTATTAGGAATGTGGGGTTAACATGCTGCTGCTTCAGGGGAAGCGCCCATGAAGAACGGGAGGCTGCGGGGCGGAAGGGCTGTGCGCCGAGATGCCGATAGGAATTACTGCCCTGAATGAGTTTCTGGGGGGTGGTTTGGTTTGTTTTGTTTCCCTCCGATGCTTTCTGCTCTTTGGTAAATTCTAAATTTTCTACCAAGAGCTTTTTTCCCTCCAAAAAACAAAGCTGTATTCTTTATGGTAAAAGCAGTACAAGCCAAAACTACACATAACTCAGAAGGATATAATACAGAAAAACAGGCGGCGCTCCTCTCTCTTCGCCTGGCCTGCCTTTTAAAGGGTGCCCCCGTGCCCCCCAGTCCCGCCCCAGCCTTTCATACGCAGAAAGGGCTGCCTGGGTGTGTGCCCCTCCGCACTGGCCAGCTGCGGGACCTCGGTCCCCAGATCTCTCTATACCTCACGGTCCTCTGTCCACGAAACGAGGCTGTGGAAGTCCTGCCTCACTGGATCTGCTCTGTCACACTCTCACGTCAGCGCTCAGCACGTAATAAACACTCAGAAAAGGAAGCTAATGTTATTTCCTTCCCCACTCCTCCCACCATCTACTGCTCTCTCGGCTCTGTTGTACTTTTTCCCCACCAGTAATTTGGATACTCTGCATTTGATTTTAAGTTTCCTGGTAGTGTCTTTTAAAACTTTTTTTCTGTTTTCTTTTTTTGGCCATGCCGCATCACTTGTGGGATCTTAGATCCCCGACCAGGGATGGAACCCCTGCCCCCTGCGGTGCAAGCCTGGAGTCCTAACCACTGGACCGCCGGGGCACTCCCTCTTTTATAACTTTTAAATAACAGTCGTAGCCTCTGCTTCTCAGCTCGACAACTTCAGATAGAAGTGGGGAAACCAGTATCCCCTACACCTCCCGCTCTCCTGTTCTGGGGCAGGCTTATCTCCCACTCCTAATGCATGTGCAACTTTCAGTGTTTTGGTTTTCCCTAGAACATTTTCATTCCCTTTTTTATTGTAATTACCCCCGTTTTTTTTAGGCTTTGATCTATTTTTAAATGGTTTCAGTACTTATTGCCTGTCTTTTCATAGCCTAGTCTTCCTATTTCTGTACTTTTGAAAACAATCGTCTTTTGGTTGACTGGATCGTACCAGTGAGTAGTCTTCAGGGAGGATTTTCCTCAATTTCCCCTGTGTCCTTGCACACTTGGGACTGTCTTTCTGTTACTTCTCTGGCTGGCAGCAGTCTAGTTAGATATTATCAAAGCAAACTTTTTCTCAACCCTGTAGGTTGTCTTTGTTGTCTGTGTGTGTGATGCACGTCCTCCAAGGATGCCCAGGTTGTTTCTAACCTTGTTGACTGACTTTGTGTTAACGGGTGGGCATTTTAAAAGCTCACTGCAGCCACAGCATAGAGAGTAGATCAGAGGGCGGGACCAAGTGGGGGTCAGGGGGCACGTGCTGTAGACTGGGGGCGGGGGAGGTCACGATTTAAAAGCGGGAAACTGATGCTTGATTAGATAGAGGGTGTGGGAAGAGGAAAGTGTAAAAGCTGCCAGTTTATATGGCAGTAGTTATGTATTCAGATATTAAAAAAAAAATACTAGGACCCAGCATTGGAGGATAGAGGTGCAAAAAGTAAGCAAGTTAATTATAAACATCTCGTTAGACTTTACAGTAATGCATATTGACTTATAACGTGAACTTATTTCATCTTAGCCCAAACCTTGACACTGTCTTAGTTTGATATTTAAATTTTTCTAAAAGCAAATTTGGCAATTTTTTTTCACAAAAATAAATGTTTTCTTTTGTTTCTGATACTAGCTCCTGAAATTCTTAGTTATGATCCTATCAGCATGGCAACGGATATGTGGTGAGAATAATTTATGACGAATTGATCAAATTAGTTTTAAGAAATGAATATGATACTAATTTTTCTTACATTTTCATTCTGATTTAGGAGCATTGGAGTGTTGGCATATGTCATGCTGACGGGAGTATCGCCTTTCTTAGGCGATAATAAACAAGAAACGTTCCTCAATATCTCACAGATGAATTTGAGTTATTCTGAGGAAGAATTTGATGTTGTGTCTGAGTCAGCTGTTGACTTCATCAAGACACTTTTAGTTAAGAAACCTGAGTAAGTATTCGTTAATATTGATCTCTATCAATTTATGAGCAATCTGCTCTGAACAAAAGCAGATGAACAACTGAAACCCCAAAGTGAAGACATGAAAGTGTAGACATAAAATTAGATGAAACCTTTGGCTTCTTACATCTGTTGAAAGAAAAAGTGGCAAAAATGAAAATGTTTTTTAGAAAATGTGAACTGCACCTCAGTATAACAGATACTTGCCATCTGTTCTTGGTCTTTCAAAGGGGCTTTTCAGAGAGAACTTAAAATACTATTTATATTGTGGGGAACGGCATTTGCATGCAAATGCTAAAACTTTGTTTTATTCAGGAACCACAGTAAGATCTTTGTGGTTCGTATGTCCCAAAATATAATACCTTATGCTCTAAGTTATAGTTGAGGCTTTAAACTACTTCGTCCTAATTGTAAACTGTGCCTCTTTATCCAGAGATCGCGCCACTGCTGAGGAGTGTCTGAAACACCCATGGCTAATGCAGAGCAGTGTTCAGGAACCTTCTCTCAAGGTGAAAGGGGCATTAGAAGAGGCACAGGCCCTCCAGGAAGGCGATCCTGTGCCTGAAAGTCATTCAGATACTCAGAAGCCGGAAACCGAGGAATCCGTCGTCACAGAGGAGTTGATTGTAGTTACTTCATATACTTTAGGACAGTGCAGACAGTCTGAAAAAGAGAAGATGGAGCAAAAGGCCATTTCTAAACGCTTTAAATTTGAGGAACCTCTGCTGCAAGACATTCCGGGAGATTTTATCTACTGAGCAGTATTTCCCTTTAGAACTTTAAGATTTCTATATTGGAAACATTATTTATGGACTTCTGGCCAAATGGTACATGTGCTGAAAGTGGATGACCAGGTGTCACTGGTAGAAACTAAAATAACTTTGTCAAACTTGTGGAGTTAGAGAAATCAAGCCAGATTTATAAAGTTGCCAACCAGGAGGTTTAACGGGTAAAGTTACCTTTTTCAGAGTTCTTTTTAAGAAGGGAGATGCTTGAACCTTTTATTTCTGCATCCTGTTTCTCCAGAATGAGAATATGTATGCAAAGATATCTGTAGTCACTTTCCTTAAAACTCCAAGTAAAAGTGCCAAAATTAACATCTTTGTAAATCTGTTTTGCATTATTCATATCTATATCTGCATATATGTATGTTGATATCGTTACTAAAATTGATTCTTTTTCACTTTGGATTTTTTGAGGGGACTAAGATTTTAATTTAAGTATTTTGCAAATTTCTGAGACCTAGAATAACATGTGCTAGTTAATAATGTCTTATTTTTATATTTTATTACTGCTCTATGTTGACTTGACTTGGCTTCTGTTGTCTGTTTTCTTCCTAATGGTTTGCAGCCCTATCAGTGGAAAACCCTGGCTAATTTTAGTTTTTTCTTCAACATCACTAGTAAGAGTGGTGGTGATTTTTCACCTCTGAAATTGTTCTGGTTTTCAAGGTCAAAGGTTAAGTCACCCTGTAATGTTAACCCAGTGCTCGCTCCGCGTGTCCCTCATCACACCTTCCTTGTCTACCCTCTTTCACAGGCTGCACCCCTGCCGCCTCCTCACACGCTTGTCGCCTGACTTTGGTCTCTTGCGAGAGGCAGTGTGATCTGATCAACACAGTGGTGCTTCGGTCAGTGAGAGGACGCTATTAAGTTGTTTTTGTTAATAAAATCCCCAGGAATCGGGGAAGAAATATAAAGCACATTCATGCTGGCCATCGAGCCTCTGCTTCTGTTGAATTTCCCATTAGCCCCCAGGCAATACTAGGAAAAGTGGTAAGATGCCAGAATATTTATAAACCTTTACTTTGTTCGTAAACGACTTGACATTGGAAACTTTGTCATTAGGGAGGTCCCCTAAGACTTGTAAGATTTGTAAGAATATACTCAGTAGCATTTAATTTACTTAGGAGTGAACACTTCAGCTGTATCTGGGCCCACAGTGAACAAATTCCTATTTAAAAAAGTGGAAATGTAAAAGCGTATGCTGTATAACTTAAAGCAACTAAATCTTCTTCTTACACAGAACAGTCTGCGAGTCCTTATTTTTACCTTGTATTAGGTGCTTGTATCGGGTGAACACAACTTGTCTGTGACTTGTGTGCACACAGCGTGTGCTCTGTACCGTGAGCTACTCGGACCCATTCCTTCGCAGTCTGCTAGGGTGTCACGTGGTGCTTTCTTCCCAGCCTGGTTGCTCAGATGTCAGCCTCAGGACCATGGGAACCCCTAACCATCTGTTTTCAAGTGTGTGTAGGGTACTGGGCTGGACTTTCCCATGCGTGGTCTGCACGAGCTCCCAGCCCTGCCTTGCAAGTGTCGCAGGCCCTGTGTTGTTCCGACACCATCAGGTGAAATTGATTAGGCAGTTCGAACCCTCGGTTTGCACTGTTTTCTCACTAAATTGGCCTATTGATTTATACAGTTTCTTGGAAACGAGCATTTCTAAACAAGCTCTATAAAGAGGAAGAGGAAATTCTGCTACAGTGGCAATTTTCAATGAAAACCCACGGCCACAATGCTAAAGCCTCAGGTAAGTCTTGAAAAGAGGTAAAATACAATTTTAGGCAAATTTTTATAAATACCTCCGACAAAAATAGGAGGGAGGTGAGAAAAAAAAATCCACTATTTGAATGACACATTTTTATACTTGATGGATTTATTCAGTTTTAAAATCATACTCATGTGGACAACAGTCAGACTTTTTCCAAAGCCATTTTTTATACTGTATTCATAATCCATTTAATGTAATTGCTGTATCCGTAAAAGAAAAGAAAACTAGACGTGTTTTCTTTTAGCTGGCCACTTTGCCATTTGCAGTGTGCAGCTGTCCTTAGCTGCTCTTGCTGCCTTGAATTTAGAATTGTACACTGCTTTTTTGGAAGCACTTGCACTGGTAAAGGGATATATTGACATTTTTTGGTGTCTGTCATATAAATAGAGCATAAAGAGTCTTCAGAGTATTGGACCAAACCTTTCTGTTAATTACTAACCAACTAGCTCTGTTAATTTTTCTTTTCACTTGTTTACAATGGACTGAACTATTCATATCCATGCAATTTAGAACTCCAGTTTTAATTATAATAAAATTCAACATTATAATATTTTAGCTTGATGAGAAGTTATGAAATATGCAAAATGTAAGTGGTTTTAGTCAACCGGGAAATTGTGTTTTAATGTTTCATTTTGTTGTTTTCACATGAAAAGTAGGAGAATATGGCTTTCTCTCATAGTTACAGAGGCACATCAGATGCTAATTGTGGTGTATCTTAAACTTTTCCAACAGACCTCAGTTTGGAAGAAAGTGTAGGAGCGAAGAGGTCGCTTAGAGACTGTTGGACACGAGGTGAATGCTGTGCGGCTCCGTCCACGGAGGCCTGAGCAACATCGCTCCCTGCCACCGACATGGATCATCTCAAGGTACCAAGAAACAAATCCTAAATACGTTTTAAGCTCACACTTGGAGAAATTTGAATTAGACTGATAAAACTAAAAATACGATAGTATTGTTCAAGATCATTTGGCAATTAGGCCCTTCAATTTGTTACAGAATTAAAAGAGCTGGATTAAAAACGTTAACCTCAAGAGCCTGAATTGCCAACTATGCTTTTATTGTCGGAGGGGATATAATTTACAAGTAACGAAGTGTACAGCTCTAAACCCGTACCAGCCTCTCTCGAGCCTGACAAATGCACGTATTCAGATAGAGGGAATTACATGGCACGTCCACCCTGCTGTGGCTTTCACTCAGCATGATTTTGAGACTCATACATATTGGTGCTTGTATCAGCAGTGTGTTCCTTGTTGTTGCCATGTGGTGCTGTTTGAACACACCAGCTTATGTAAAACCATATCTCTGTTCATGGACCCCAGGGCTGTTGCAGGTTTTGTGTCTTATGAATAAAGCTGCTATAGATATTCTTTTTTCTGTTGTTTTTGTTTGGTGTTTTCTTTTTTTTTTTTTTTTTTTTTTTTGGCTGCACTGGGTGTTCATTGCTGCTGCTGCATGCGGGCTTTTCTCTAGTTGCGGTGCGCGGGCTTCTCATTGCAGTGGCTTCTTTTGTTGCGGAGCACGGGCTCAGTAGTTGCGGCATGTGGGCCCTAGAGCACGCAGGCTTCAGTAGTTGTGGTGCGGAGGCTCAGTAGTTGTGGCTCACGGACTCAGTAGTTGTGGCACACAGGCTTAGCTGCTCGGCGGCATGTGGGATCTTCCCGGACCAGGGCTTGAACCTGTGTCCCCTGCATTGGCAGGTGGATTCTTAACCACTGCGCCACCAGGGAAGTTCAGATATTCTTGTCCAGGGGTTTTCTGTGGACACGTTTTCATTTCTCTTAGATTAAATAGGAGTAGAATTTCTAGGCCACGAGATAGACGGATATGTAACTTTTTAAGAAAATGCCCAACCATTTCTAAAGCGATTGTACTGTTTACCATTCCTGCCAGCAATATATGCAAGTTCTCATTGCTTCACATTTAGTGTTGGCCATCTTTTTTATTTTAGCCACTCTCATGGGTATGTGGCGGTATCACAAGGTGGTTTAATTTGCTATTCCCTGATGACTAATGAGGAACAAACACTATTTCATGTGTTTGTTGAACCATTTTTGTGTCGTCCTTTTTCTCCCTTTTTATTAATTGGATAGTGAGTTGTGATAATCTTTTATATATTCTGGATACAAGTCCTTTATAGGATTTACATGTTACAAATATTTTTTTCCGACTGTGGGTTGTCTGTTTTCTCAACAGTGTCTTTTGATGAGAAGGTAGCTGTAATTTCGATGAAGTCCAATTCATCAATTTTTGTTTTACACGGTTAATACTTTCTGTACCCTCTTTAAGAAGTCCTTACCTACCCCAAAGTCATGAAGATTTTTTTAAAGCTTTATGGCTTTAACTTTTATGTTCAGGCCTGCGATCCACTTTACACTTTTGTCCCCTTTGGTGTTAGGTAGGGGTCAAGTGTCCCTGTTTTCCGTATGAATATGTAGTTGTTCCAGCACCATTTGTCAGACCGACTTTCCTTTCCCCATTGAATTGTTTTGCTGTCCTTGTGTAAAATCATCTGACCGTATGTCTGTGGATCTACTTCTGCACACTCTTCTGTTTCATTAATTTATTTGCTTATCTTTTTGTCAGAACTTTGTAAGTCCTGATGTCAGGTACAGTAGGACTTCCAATTCCTTCATTTTTGAGATTGTTGTTTATTCTAGGTCCTTGGCATTTCTGAAGAAATTTTAGCGTTGGTTTGTCAACTTCTACCAAAATCACCCCCTAAAAAAGCCTCGTGGGATTTTGTTTGAGATTCATCTATCAATCAATTTGACTTTTTAACAATTCTTCCAGTCTGTGAATATAGTGTGTATTCCCGTTCGTTTACTTCCATTTTTCTCTGCATTGTGTTATATTTTTCAGTGTAGAGTCCTTGTACATCCTTTGCGAACTTTATCCCTGGGTATTTTGTTATTTGATGCTATTGTTTTGGATACTCTGTTTCTCAGTTTTGGTTTTTGATACTCCTAATCCTCCAGTGATCAGTTTTAGCTCATTGTGCTTAATCAGACCTATGTTATAAATTATTCAAATAAAAATGAGTGTACTTTTCTTTTGAAGCTCTTCATTTAAAGTCTCGGCCTAAAGTTTTGTTGGTAAGAGTGGAAGTAAGTCTGCTGAATTGAAATTCATGGTAACAAAATTGGGAAGGAATAACATACCCTCCTCTAATTCTCTCAAAGTAGAAAGGAGGTAATAGAATCTCAGAGGGAATATGTGGTTTGCCCAGGATCTTAGCAGCTGCCGGCAAAACAGAGGATAGAATCGTTGAGCTTTCCAGGGCTTTAACCTCAGTGGAGTCTACCTTTGGCTACATGTTAATGTCCATAAACAATCATTTTTTTAAATTATTTTTGTGCAGCTTGATTGTGGATGAATTTTTGTTAGTGACTGGAGGATACGTAACCTGAGATTAGGCTGGTACAGAGGTCAGCACATTATGCCCTTGTGGCGTGTTTGGTAAACGAAGCTTTCTTGGAACACAGCCTGTTCATTTACATTTGTCTACAGCTGCTTTCATGGGAAAACCCGCAGGGTTGAGTAGTTGCCACAGAGATCTTACGGCCTAATCAGCCTAAAATAGTTACTCTCTGGCCCTTTACAGAATAAGTTTGCCAACCCCCCTGCCAGGCTCTTGTAATCTAAACATATTCTAAATAGGAGATATTTCCTATTTCAAACCAATACTGACACAGCCCTTTGGGGAGCAGTTCATTTTACATGGCAGAATAATCTTAGGACTTTGCATTCATTCTTATAGTTTTTATTAAAACAAGTGAGTTTTATCTACTAAAACTAAACTATTTTTACTAAATATGTCATCAGCAATAGTACAACAACATTTTTACATAAAAAGGTTCTCTTAGTTTCAATACACTGATCGGTTTTCATGAAAATTAGTATCTCTCGGTTATCTCCATTATTGTAAAGTGACCAGTTTTCTAATAACTTGTGAGAGAAATGTACCTAGAAGAAAAAAAAAAAAAGATATTTAGGAAGAGAGATGTTTAATCCTCAGAGAGCTGGAGATTATTCAGGAGGGAAGGATTATCACCTCATCTTGCCCCTTTCAAAGGAGCATATTCAGTGTCCTTGTCCTATACCTTAATTAGTTCAAAATACAAAGTTTTTAGACTTAGAAGGAGTTGGAAAGATAGTAGTACAGACGCATCTTGTGTAGTTGTAGTAAAGTGCTAAAACCAGGAGATTGACATCCAAGCAGTGCGTGTGTATAGTTCTATGCCATTCTATCACATGTAGTTTCCTGTAACCACAATTTAGATACAGAACTATTTCATAGCAACAAAGATGGGTTGTGTCAACATTTTTACCAGTTCAGGTAAATAGTACATCAGACAACGTTATACGTTTTGTTTCTACCACCAAACAATTCCTGAGATAACTCAAGAGGAGAAGTAAAGTCGATCATATTCACTCATGTTTCTGCTCTTTCCACTGTTCTTCTTTCCTGATGTTCCAAGACTTTTTTTTCTCAACATTTTCTGTTTCAAGAACTTCCTTTTGTCATTCTTTTAAGGGAGGTCTATTCAAGCAAATTCTTTTTGTTTTCCATCATCTGGAAAGTCTTTATTTTTCCTTCATTCCTGAAGAATAATTTTATCAGATGCAGAATTCAGAGTTGACAGTTCTTTTAGAACTTGAAAACTTTTGTGCCATTTTTCTGGCCTCCACGGTTTATGAGGAGACAGCTATCATCTGAATTGTCTTTCCCCTATAGGTAAGGTGGTATTTCTGCCTTGCTGCTCTCAAGCTTTTTTCTTTGCCTTTAGTTTTCAGAAGTTTGTGTTATCATAGATTTCTTCAGGTTTACGTTGTTTGGGTTCCACTCGGCTTCTTAAATATATAGGTTTATGTCTTTTGCCAAATTTGGAAACTTTTCAGACGTTAATTCTTTCAAATGCTTTTTTCAGCCCCACCTTTCTCTTCTCCTGGGACTCCAATGACATGAATGCTAGATTTTTTTGTTATAGAACCACAGGTATTATTGTCGGTCTGTTTTCTCTGCTCAGATTGGGTAATTTCTATTTTATCTTCAAGTTCCTGATTTCTTCAAGTTCAGATTTTCCTGGTTCTTGGTATAAAAGCGTGGTTTTCTATTGTGTATCGGACGTCTGGTTTTATGTCGCGGGATTCTGGATCTTGTCTAAATCTTCTGTTTTAAAAGCAGGCTTTTTCTGACACCGCCATACCGGTGGGTGAAGCGGGGATATGTACACTGCCTCCTCACTGCTGCCAGTTGGGGGTGAAGGTCTAGGCTCACCACTTGGCCTCTTCTGACACCGAGGCAGGGGGAGGGGTACCTCCTTACGGCTTCCCACTGAAGAATAGGGGCTCCACTGATGCCGCGGGGGGTGGGAGTATCAGCGGGCAGGAAAGGCGGGCGTAGCTCCCCTGGGCCTTCTCTGCCACCACACCCTGCAGAGGACGGGGGCCAAAGGGGCAGGCGGGGAAGGCCTCGTTCTAGCTGAGTAAGGGGAGCAAGTCTTGGCTCTCCACCTGGCCTTTGTTGACAGGCTAGGGTAGGGTTGGGGCCATGTTTTTTTCCATGGTGTCTGGCTAGAATAGGGCGATTACTGTGTGAAAGTTATTTAGCTTGAGAAAGCAGGCTTTTCTTGGCTTTTGTTGTTGTAGCCATTGGTGTTTCTAGGCTGCTGGTTTCACCAGCACCTAGTCTGGGACATATGAGGCAAAAGAAAGCCCAGGGAACTCACTGCTTTTATCACTTGGGTCCCAAGGTCCTCAGCCAATCTGCCTTCTTTTCATTTTTCAGTATGTTTATTTGATAAATGTCTAGGGTTTTAGCTGTGCTTAAACGTGTGTCTACTCCATCTTGTCCCTCCTGGGGGCTTTTGCTTTTTAAAGTTGACAGTAGGAGAACTCCCTTCTGTGTATTTTAGATTTAAGCAAATTAGTAAATACACCTCGGATTATGAGAGCCAGGTTTCTCTCTGTTGGAGAAGGAGTGACAAGTATGGGAAGGAGGAAGTCTCCAGTGAGTGAGTGTGTGTGTGTGTGTGTGTGTGTGTGCGCGCGCGTGGGCACTAACACTAGACCACTGAATGTAGTTTAAAATTTCTTGAGGTTCCTTTTTGCCATGAGGATATATCCCACCAAGGATGTTGAGTCAGAACTGTTTGAAAGTCACTTGAAATATTTCTTCTCTGTGTGGTTCATTTGTTTCAATATTTTAAGAAGTATTTTAAAGATTTTTTTCTTTGATTTTATTTTTAAATTATGTAAAAACAAAACAGCATGATTTCAAATTTAAAAGTGTAAAACAAGGTACATTCAGGAAAGTACAGCTTCCATCCCTGTTTCCTACTTATGTCCCCTGGCCATTTGTTTACTTCCCCAAAGATAACTACTTGTATTGATTTTAGTTATTCTTCCGTTGTTTCTTTTTGAAAGTAGAAGCTAACATATGCATACATATACACATGCATATATAAAATTCCTTTTCACAAGTACAGACTCCTCAACTGTATAGAAGTCAGTTTATTTAACCCATTCTCTATCGATGGAGACTTGGGTTGTACCTGGGTTGTTTACAGTTTTTTGCTGTTACAAATAGTGTTGCATTAAATAACCTTACATAAATGGCATTTTGTATTTTTTGCCAGCCTACTTTGGGATAAAATCTTAGATGTGGGATTGCTGAATAGAATGGTAAGTGTACGTGACATTTTTCTAGATATTGTCAAATTCCCTCCCACAGGTGTTGTTTCATTTTGTCTTTACACCAGCAATTTAAAAATGCCTATTTCCCCACAGCCTTTTGAGAAAACAGGTTCTCAAATTTAGGGATTATTGCCAATTTGCTAGAAGAAAAATGGTATCTTCCTGTAGTTTGAATTTATATTCTTTTTAAGAGGGAGGTTGACCCTTTTTTTTTAGTGTGTTTGAGTCACTTGCATTTCTTTTCTGTGAATACATAGTATCTTTTGCCCATTTTTCTACTGGGTTACTGTTTTCTCAACTTTCACGCTTTAGAAATTAAGGATATTAACTTTTGTGATTTAAATTCTAAATATTTTCCCATTTACCATTTGCTTTTCGCTTTGCTTTTGGTATTTTTAGACATGCAGAAATTTGTTTTTATACAGTTTTCCTTATTCTATAACGAATCATGGTTAGGTGAGTTTCTCCACTTCTGGGTTATAAAAGAATTCACCCATATTTTTCTGCTAGTGCTTAGATGGTTTCATTTTTACATTTAGATCTTTTGATCCAATTGGAATGTATGGTGAGCAGTTGATCCCATTTCATCTTTTTGCATATGGCTATCAGGTTGTTCCAACATCAGTTTTCAAATGTCTTCCTCTCCCCTCCCTGATTTAGATGCTGCTTTACCATAACCAGATTTCCATATGCATGTCTATATTTTCAATTGCATTGTCTCTTCATGTGCCAGCACTTCATTATTTTATTTACAAATATGTTTTAATGTCTGTAAGACTAGCCCCCCCTTCCTTACTCTTCCTTTGCAGTGATTTCCTAGCTATCTTTGCTTATTTCTTCTTCCAAAGGAATTTACAATTAATTAGCTTGTCTAACTTTTAAAAATCACATTAAATTTAACTCAGGGAGAACTGACATCTTTATGATGAAGAATCTTGCCATCCAAGAACATGGTGTGTCTTTCCCTTTGTCCAGTTCTACATTTGTACCTTTCAGTAGTGTGTTTTAGACCTCTCATGTAAGTTTTGCAGATTTCTTGCTCACTTTTTCCTAAGTAGTTTTTGTTTTGGTTTGCTTTTTGCTATTTTAAGTAAGTATTGTCTGCTCTCCATTACTTCTTCTAATGGTATATTAAATGCCTTTCATTATTAAATGAAATGTGATCTATGATACAGAGGCATGTTTCTAATATTTTCAACTCCCACTTTTGAACCCTGGATCGTAAAACGTCAGCTTTTCTGTACACGTTCCTGACAGCGCTTTGAACTGAGCAACTGCTAGAGTCGGCAGAAAGACAAGCCTGGATGGTGGACAGGTTACCGAGGAGGAGAGGCTCTTCCCGTGGGTGGAGGCTGGAGGCTTTTCCCATCATCACCCTCTCACCTCCTCCTTGAACGCCCCCCAACCCCTTCATGGGGCCTCCTGTGGATACAGCATCTTTTGCCCAAGCCTCCCAACAAGCAGTATAAACGCTGCCTCGCCTGTAAGACCAGCGATTGGTAAGTATTTATTCATACGGACAAACTGAAAACAGCAGAGTCAAGCAGCCTTCAGAAAGCCCTGTGGAGCTGCTGTCGACAGAGCATCGCCCTGGCCTTCCTGCTGTGCCAGAGGCCACCGTCGGCGCAGTGCTGGCTGCTTCAGGTGGGTGTCATTCATTCAGTTTAGCTTCATCTTTGCTGAATGCAACTTCACCAAAACTGGGAGTAGTAGAACCTGTCTCTTCAGGTATTACTAAATCCCTGGATTGGTGAATGGGGAACGGTTGGAAGAAAGAGAAGCAGGGGGAAGCCAAATCTTGAAAAATGGGATAAATGACAATAAAATCTCTGATTTATTTGAAAGTCGTACAGGTCTTGTCAGTATAATTCAGCACAGTCTCTTAAACCGTCATTAACAGTAGAATCATATACTTACTCCAGAACCTGAGGGCTACAAGCTCAATGCAAAATGCTAATGCTGGCATTCATGCTCTGGTCACCTCACCTGTCCAGGGCTTGCTTTTACTGTATCTTCAGCTAACCTATACACTGGCCAAATGGCAGATCTTCTTTCTGGAGCATAGCTCACACCTCCCCTGCTGAGGCCTGTTTTCATGTTTTTTCTATTTGCAAGGCAGTCTCCATCACGTCTGAAATAAGCCCATGAGGTCACCAGTCCACCAAGAGGAAGGAGTGACCTGACTGGCCTCCTGGATTCCTCCTACTTGGTCTCTCTCCTACCTCGTTTTAGCGCTGCTGCTTGGAACTCTTCTAGTCCAGTATTACGTAAGCCGCTTGTGAGCAGACACCACACAGCATCTTAGTAAAGGCGCGTGGGAGTCCTACTGCCATTTGTTGGCTGTGATCGCTCTTCTGCAGTCTTCCTAAATCTATAATCCTTACAGTCTTTCTCCAGTCACCACTGGGCTCACTCCTGGGGTGTGCTGGGAGCACTTTTGCTCAGTGAAAAGTCTCCTTTGCCCCTGATGATTGTGCATCCTCCAAGATGTCTTCCAGGTCATTACTGGGAGTCCACGGCTGAATCACAGTGATCTGATCACTGGACACACAGGAAGTAGCGGGCTACAGGTATACAGCATTACTTCAAGGAAAGAAAGGACAATGTCTATTGCAAGGACCGGGTTCCGGCCCGTTCACAATCAATCAACCATAAAGGCATTAAGAAGTCCACGGAAATATGCTTAACTGGAAATAATACCCAAGATGGTGACTTTGAAACAGAAATCAAGGATCTTTTCACTACATACTATTTCCTGTCAGTTGGGTTAGGAAAGCCTCTTCATACAAATTGTACACAAAAACTTACTTGCTTTTACTTCAGAACAGATGGTCCACTCAGGCCCTGGTTTTCTGTGGCTTGGCCACAGCAGGAAAAAATCCGGCAAACAACACTGAAAGTAAGTAAAAGCTGTTATAGAACAGTCAGGTGTGAGGCACTATATAAAGTGACATGTACACAACAGAACGGTACATGATGATTAAAGAATAAAGCAGCACAAGAAAGACTGTACAGATCGTAATATTTATCAACAAAAGCTCTCGGGGAAAGAACTTTTTCACTTCATGATCTATTCAAAGAGCATATTTTTTAAAGAAAGAAATTACAGAACGGAAATAACTTCTAACAATGAAAGGCCTGTACTGGCATATTTAAGCTTAATCTTTTCTGAGAGGCTCCCCTCCAATGAATATTAAGAATACAGTAAAGGAGCTCATGAATGTCCTTTACTACACCTGCATTAAGCCTAGTAATACTGAGGGGGTTAGACTGGCCTTTGCAAAGCAAAGCTGGCAGGTTTCTGGATTTTGTAGGCTCTGGCGCTCAGCGGGAAGGAAGGTCTTTTGTCCCCTTGCAAGACTAATAAAACCTAAAACCTCCTCATTGATAGGGCTGAAAACTGGGGTAGGGGAGAGAAGAGATGAGAAATCAACATTATTAATACTGATCCCTTTAATTCTGTGCTTTGCTTCTATATAGAGAACTTTCAAATTCTTATAAATTATAGTAGCTTTCTGATGAAATTAAAAACTTCAGCAGGGGTCACTGTGGTCAAATGAGAATGATCCTGAGATCACTGTATGCCCACACGTGCAGCCAGCCCGGGCTGGGGGCTGGCCTGCAGCCACGGGGCGCACATGGTGAGGAGGGAGGCCGGGCTAGGACGGGCTGATCACCTTCACTCCTTTTTCAGCTCATTGCTGTTCTCCCCACTGGGCTTGAACAGGGGAATCTGCTGGCCATCCTTGAGCTCTAAGAAGACCTCCTGAAGGTTCCACCTGAGAGAAACCAAAAGTATAGCCTCTAATCAACGAAACACTGAGGCAAAAGACAGACATGGTTTAAAAGGAAAAAAGCAGTTGTTAGGAATGTCTTAAGTTTTTTAAACGCTATTTTATGTTAGCAGTATGTTAACGTTTTAACCTTCTGTTCCAGGCTCACATTATTTAACCAGCATCACCGTCAAGGCAAGTTTTACCAATGAATGGCTGGCACCAGGGAAGAGGAGCAGCTCGCTCCTCCCCGTTTCCTAATCCCCCGGACCTCCAGCTCCGGGCTGGAAGCTGGCCACCTCCTCCACTAATCCCGGGTTCAGGGGGCAGTGAGTCCAGGGGAGCCAGGCAGGGGCTGCCTGCTCCTTTTGTCCTTGAGGATTAAAACACATCCTGGCTAAACAGCAAACATCTCTGAGACAGGCTTCCCGTGGGGGAAGTGAGTGTAGCTACTGGCAACCAGACAAGAAAAGCCAATTAATGGGGTAGAGAGCTTATTTAAAGAATGTGACGAATAATTCTGGAACAGGACCCCATGCCTTTATTCATTTGTAATGACGGAGGCAGCAGTGTTGGAAGCTGCGACATAGCATCAAGTTATGGCAGACCTAGACTACTACAACTGTAAAGTTCTTCAAATTCAGTAGCGTGCACTGGATAAAATGTCTGGACTGAGCTTAAGAGCCCAAGTAGCGGCATGCTGTCCAAGCTGTGAAACTTCTCAAGCTTTGAAAAACTAATTCTTACTGCCACAATCATATAACTAAAATTGAAAACGGAAATCGTTTCCATCAGAAGGTTCTCCTCCTGCTGCCTGATTCCCACCCACTTTCCCATCATACCTCTTAAAGGGGGCATCTCTGGATGAGGTGACATAGAGATAGCCCTCTGACTTGGGTCCAGAGACAGGAATCTTCAACTGGGGGTATAAAATGAGAGAGGTAAGTGTATATATAGTGCTGTCCTCTCAAGAGATAACCTATGAAATCCAGTGATTATCCACAGAACCTGGTTGTTTTCGAACTTGAGCCTAGCTGAAGAATTCACCTTATTTTCCATCTGGCTCCCTTCAAATGCCCTGCACCTCTCTGGATGGCCTGGTGAGGTCAATGGCAGTGCTCCTATCTGGCAAGGAGACCTTATGTGCCAAACTCAATGTTCTGAGTACTTGCAATGATTATTTTTTAAATCCACGGTTAAAAAAGAACTACCGATATATGCAACAACATGGATAAAGGTCAAAAACATGTAGAATGAAAGAGCCTTACCCAAGACTATATGACGCATGATTCCATGTCTTAGACCAAACTAGGTTGGGAAAAAAATGTCAGAAAGTGCCTCTGCTGGAGCTGTGGGGATGTGAGAGGACCAACTGGGAAGAGCATGAGGCAGCTCTCAGGTGAGGCAACACTCTACATGTAGGTAGGGGCTTGAGTTGCACAGGTGGATATGCATTTGTTAAAATTCATCAGGACAGTTAGTTAGATGTGCACCTTTCACAGAATGTAAATTTTACCTCAAAAAAATATATATTAAGCTCTAGTTAATGATATATATGGCTTATGTATTTAAAGGTAAAATGTATGGATATTTGAAAATAATAAGATAGATAGGTTTCAAGAACAAATAAGGTAGAGCTAGACAAACAGGTATGGGATAAAAGCACACTGAGCAAAATATTAGTTACAGAATCCAGGTGGCAGATATATGGGTTCCACAGCATAAATTCTTTGATATTTTCTGTATGTTTGAAACTTTCATAATAAAATAGAAAGAAAAAACCAAAAAACAAAAAAAGTCCACTGTTTAATAAAAGGGGGAACTATTTCTAGCAAATTGGTCCATACTCTGACCTGGACCATAAAGCAGTTCTAAGAGGAGAGCTGATAGCAAAACACACCCTCCTCAAGAAATAAAAATCTCAATCTAACCTACCATCTAAAGAAGTCAGAAAAAGAACAAAGTCAGCAGAAGGAAGGAAATAATAAAGATCAGAGAGGAAATAAATAGATCAAAAAAACAACAGAAAAGATCAGTATAACCAAGAGCTGGTTTTTTGAAAAGATAAACAAAATCAACAAACCTCTAGCCAGGCTCACCAAGAAATAGAGAGGACCCAGATAAAATAAGAAATGAAAGAGGAGGAATAACAACAGTTATCACAGAGATACAGAATCCTAAGAGAATACTATGAACAGTTATATGCCAACAAATTGGACAACACAGAAGAAATGGACGAGTTTCTAGAAGCATACAGCCTGCCAAGACCGAATCAAGAAGAAACAGATAATTTGAACAGACTGATCACTGCAAAAATCCCCTGCAAACAAAGTCCAGGACCAGATGGCTTCACTGGGGAATTCTACCAAACATACAAAGTATTCTAAAAAGGAATTCTACCAAACATACAAAGTATTCTAAAAAAAACTGAAGAGGAGGGAACACCTCCAAATTCATTCTATGAGGTCACCAGCACCCAAAACCAAATAAAGACACTACCAAAAAAAGATAATTACAAGCCAATATCTCTGATGAATACAGATGAAAAAAAAAACCTCAACAAAATATTAGCAAACCAAATCCAAGGATACATAAAAAGGATCATACACCATGATCAAGTTGGATTCATTCCAGGGTCACAAGGATGGTTGAACATACACAAATCAATCAAATGTGATATACCACATTAACAAAAAACACACGATCACCACAATAGATGCAGAAAAAGCAGTTGATAAAAATTCAACAACCATTCATGATAAAACCTTTCACCAAATGATAAAAATTCAACAACCATTCATGATAAAACCTTTCACCAAAGTAGGTATAGAGGGAACACATCTCAACATAATAAAGACCACTTATGACAGACCCACAGCCAACATAATACTCGACAGTAAAAAGCTGAAAGCCTTCCTGCTAAATTCGGGAACAAGACAAGGCTGCTCACTCACCACTTCTACTCGACATAGCGTTACCGCAAGTCTTCGCCACAGCAGTCGGACACACACACGAAACGCAGACTGGACGGAAAGAGGTAAAACTGTCACTATTTGCAGATGACCTGATACTCCACGTAGAGAACCTAAAACCACCACACAAAAACTATTAGGAGTAATAAATGAATTCAGCAAGGTAGCAGGATACAAGGTTAATTTGTAGACATCTGTTGCATTTCTTTACACTATTAATGAAATATCAGAAAGAGAAAGTAAAAGTCCCATTTAAAATCGCTTCAAAAAACATAAAATACTCTAGGAATAAACTTAACCAAGGGAGAAACACCTATATGCTGACAACTATAGAACACTGATAAAGGAAACTGAAGAGGATTCAAAGAAATGGAAAAATATCCCGCACTCCTGGATTGGAAGAATATTGTTAAAATGACCACACTACCGAAAGCAATCTACAGGTTTCGTGCAACCCCTATCAAATTACCCATGACATTTTTCACAGAACTAGAATAATCCTAAAATTTATATGGAACCACAAAAGACCCAGAATTGCCAAAGCAACCCTGAGAAAAATGAACAAAGCTGGAGGCGTAACACTTCCAGACTTCAGGCCATACTACAAAGCCTCAAAACACCATGGTATTGGCACCAAAAGAAAAAGATAAATCAATGGAACAGAATAGAGAGCCCAGAAATAAACTCACACACCTATCGTCAATTAATCTACAACAAAGGAGGCAAGAATATACTACAGGGAAAAGACAGTCTCTTCAACAAGTGGTGCTGGGAAAGCTGGACAGCTACATGTAAATAAATGATATTAGAACATTCCCTCACACTATATACAAAAATAAAATCAAAATGATTTAAAGACCTAAATATAAGACATGATACCATAAAGTACCTAGAAGAGAACATAGGCAAAACATTCCTTGACATAAATTGTAGCAATATTTTCTTAGATCAGTCTCCCAAGGCAAAAGAAATAAAAGCAAAAATAAACAAATGGGACCTAATCAAACTTAAAAGCCTGTACACAGCAAAGGAAACCATCAACAAAAGGATAACCTACGGAATGGGAGAAAATATTTGCAAACGATGCAACCGACGAGGGGTTAATACCCAAAACAGCTCATACAACTCAATAGCAAAAAAATGAACAACCCAATCAAAAAGTGAGCAGAAGACCTATATAGACATTTTTCCAAAGAAGACCTGCAGATGGCCAACAAGCATATGAAAAGATGCTCAATATTGCTAATTATTAGAGAAATACAAATCAAAACCACAATGAGGTATCACACCAGTCAGAATGCTATCATCAAAAAATCTACAAATAAATGCTAGGAAGGGTATGGAGAAAAATGAACTCTTCTACACTGTTGGTGGGAATGTAAATTGGTGCAGCCACTATGGAGAACAGTGTGGAGGTTCCTTAAAAAACTAAAAATAGAACTACCATATGATCCAGCAATACCACTCCTGGGTATATATATGGAAGAAACAAAAACTGTAATTCAAACAGATACATGCAGCCCAATGTTCATAGCAGCACTATTTATAATAGCCAAGACATGGAAAGAACTCAAGGGCCCATCAGTAGACAACTGGCTTAAGAAGATGTATGTATGTATACACACACACACACACACACACAACACACAATGGACTATTACTCAGCTATGAAAAAGAATGAAATATTTCCATTTGCAGCAACATGGATGGACCTAGAGAATATTATGCTTAGTGAAATAAGTCATACAGAGAAAGACAAACCCTATACAATATCACTTATATGAGGAATCTAAAAAATAATAAAAATGAATTTATTTACTCACAGACATAGAAAACAAATTTATGGTTACCAAAGGGGAAGGGGTAAATGAGGAGTATGGGATTAACAGATACATACTACTATATATAAAATAGATAAGCAACAAGGATTTACTGTATAGCACAAGGAACTATATTCAATATCTTGTAATAACCTATAATGTAATATAATCTGCAAGAACAAACAACTGAATCACTATACATCAATTAAATTTTTTAAAAAAATCAATTATCCTTATCAGAATACTTGGGCACGAATTGCTTTCGTAGTTAGGGGGAAATATCTCTAATAAAACTACTTCCATTAAAAATAATAAAAACTGGGCTTCCCTGGTGGCGCAGTGGTTGAGAGTCCGCCTGCCGATGCAGGGGACACGGGTTCGTGCCCCGGTCTGGGAAGATCCCACATGCCGCGGAGCGGCTGGGCCCGTGAGCCATGGCTGCTGAGCCTGTGTGTCCGGAGCCTGTGCTCCACAACGGGAGAGGCCACAACAGTGAGAGGCCCGCGTACCGCAAAAAAAAAATAATAAAAACAACAACAAAAAATAAACTAGGGTCAGATCAGTTCACTCTTGTCCTCCAAATATTTCAGGGCTTCTGCTTGTCACAATTAAGTGCACACACCTCACAAGACGATGTCACAGCCCTCTGGTTGCCTCAGCCCGTTCTCCCTGCCCACACCCTCCCTGGGCAGCTGCACCTCTGCTGAGGACACACTGGCAGGGAGCACAGCAATGTGCCTTCGTGTACAAGCTGCTCAGCGTGGCCTTCCCTGTCATCACAACAACCTCCCAGGCCACTAACCTCTCCCTCCTAGGCCTCTACTAAGGCATTTGCTTCACCCTGTCTTATGCTGGAATTTTAAACTATAAACTTCCTGAAAGCCTTCTGTATCTCTGTATTCCCCACACAACTGAGAATCATTCCTCCAACTCAAAACATATTAAACAGAAGAAAAAAACCCTTCTTATATTCAGTTGAGTTTTATCAGTTGAACTATAAAAGAAGATAAGATACAGCTGAAAAAATGGACTGGCATTCCATGGAAGCAATGTAAATAAGCTTTAAAACTAGAGTTTAGGTGTATTTCAAGTTCAAAGCTGAAATACTGGCAAACCACCAATGATCATTTCTCTACAACCTCCCGTTCAAGATGGCGACCTGAGCACAAACAGGGCTTTCCGTGCCACATCAATTCCCCAGAAAGGAAAAAATCTATATGAAAATAAATTAATCCATAAGGCTTTTTTAAACGGTGCTAGGTACCACCTAGCGGCAGTTGTATGTAGCAGATTTCCCCATCCCACATCTTTCTCCAGCTTCCTCCAAGACTCCTTCCAGAGGACGGCAGCCCCTCCTCAGCTCAGTAGGCACCCGGCCTGCAGTTCGCAGGGGGGAGCACGTTACCTTTGCATCAGCAATGTCCACGAAGTTGTACTTGTCGGTGAGTCGGAGATAGTGAACGTTGAGAGGAGTGCCCAGAGCTTCCAGTGCCTCAGGGTGGCTGTGCAGATGCTCCAACGCCAACTGGTAATAGGAAGCCCTGGAAAAAGTTTCTAAGTGGGAAAGAAAAAGGTTACTTTTTTTTTTTTTAATTGAACTTCGTCAGGTATACTCTCCCTAGAAAGTGAGATGATGTAATTCATGTACAACATGGAAACAGAAACATGAAATTTATGGGTGGAATTATCATTAGGGACCATCTACCCTGAACTGTCCATTTTAGAGACTCCAAAACCAAAACATAGGAAGTCGGCATCTGCGGCGATGTGGCAGATGACCTTGAGCAAGGTACTGGACCTTTCTGTGCCTCAATTTCTTCACCTCTTATTTCCTCACCTCATTCGTTGCCTCTCTTCGTCTAAGGGGTCTGATCAGATCGTCTCTAACTTTTCTCTCAGTTCTAAGTCCTCTGGTTCCATGACTTGCTCAAAGTGGTACAGCTAATCCGAGGCAGAGCTGGGGCCAGAACCTACGACTAAACGCTAACTTGTCAAGTTGATAGATGTACGCCAACATTTCATGTAGATAAAGCTTACAAACTGCTCTCAGCCTCAGGTATCCTTGGCCCAAAGGCTACTAGGAACTCCAGGAAGCACCTCCCTGAAAATGCAAGGTGGGACAAGCCGCCCCGAGGAGAGAGCAAAGGACGGTGAGCTTCCCAAGTAAGTTTTTGTGTTTGGCAACAAGACAGACTTCCCTCTGTAGGCCCAACCACAGTAATGGACTGGAAAGGCGGCTTGAGCCTGCAGAGGCCAAGGAGAATGCCCCTCCAGTGCCGCTTCCCAGGAGAGGGGATGCTGCAGGCATGAACGAGGTGCCAGCCCTGAGGAGAAGCAGAGGCTGGGTCCAGACAGTTCATCTTCACTGAGCGATTTCTCAGCATCCCACAAGTTGTGAGATTAATGTTTACAACATCCTCGCATACAGGCACTAATATTACCCCTCGTCACATGGATAACTGAGGCCCAGGAAGAAGCCAGACCCCCCCCCATAAGGCCACACAGCTAGTCTAGAGCCGGAGTTGGCTGCAGAGCCCACTGGACTATCGCTGTCAGCCGACCCCAGCCTCCTAAAGGGGAAGGGCTGCCAGGCCCGACCCGAAAGCGTACTCATTCCCCTCAGGTCCTGCCTCCGTCCCTCTGGCAGAGGGGAGGGGCTGCTGAGTTGTTCCGGTCTGAATTATCCCTGGGAATGCTCCTCTCCGGCTGCCACCAGACTCACAGGCCTCTGGGCCCGCCCTGAAGGAAGGTGGGGAAGAGCGGGCGGAGGGGCCGGGGCCGCGGGTGACCCTCACATCCTGGCAGGAAGTAACGGGCTGCGGAGTCAGGGTGAGAAGCCAAGCTGGGCGGGCATAGAAGATCTTCAAAGAAAGTCAGTCTGGAGAAAACTACTGCTGCTGCTTCGCAACCAGTGGCGTGGAAATGCCCTTAAATGTCTCGGCTGCTCACAATAACCGCGGCCTGTCTTTACAAATTCAAATTTGGGTGCAGAGGGCTGGAAGCTGCATCTGCCAGGATTTTGCCAGCCTGGACACTGCTTTTATTTTCGGCTCTTGCCAGAGTCCGCTGTGCAAGGTCCCGTCCTCCAGTAAATCAACAGCAGAGAATGGCAAGGCAAGGCTTGAGAAAGAGCCAGTTTTCCACACCTGTGAACCATCTGGTGTCCCCCTTCCCTCTGTTCTTTCTCTGATCTCAGAAATCTTGATGGATCTACTGCTTGTGCACTGGAGTGAAAGCCCATCTTGCTTTTCTGAGGCTTCGTATGCAAGTGGGTCCTATTCCTTTGATTTGTTCTTGTGGCTCCTAGGAAAACTGGGATTACAGGATAAGAAGGAAGCTATAGCCAATGGAATGGCTTACTGGCTTCTAAAAATAGTCCTTTCCTTCTTTCTCTAACCTGCTGAAAGCATCTGAAGTATTTCCTTTGATGGAGGAACGGGGAGAGACAACTAGGAGGCGGCGCTGCCTCGGGCGCTTCATCGGATACTTACTCTGTATCAGGTAGTACAAAAGGGCGCAGCCCCCGCTAGCCGCCATGCCGGTAAAAAAGACCTGTTTCCCCAGAGGCACTGACATCCTGCTTCCTAGAGACTGAAAAACAAAAGATGTGAATTTATGGTTAGATTCAGGTTCATGCCAAGCGCCGCTGCCTGGATTGGACCCCACAGGGAAAGGAAAGCTAAGGAGGAAGCCAGCAAGGAGGCGAGGCCGCCTTCCCTTTCAGAACGCCAGGGCTGGTTCTGGAGCCCAAGCCAAAGTGCCCTCCCAAGGGTGGCCCGCATCCAGGACCCAGGCCATGGGGGCAAGGGCTGAGCACAGAGCCGGCATTCAGCCCTGCTGTCCTGAGGGACAGAACACAGCCTGTGTGCCAAGTCCCGCACAGCCAGGAAGTACAACCACTTTGTCTCACGCCGTCTGGTAAACAGGAAGCTTATCCTTTTGTTGCAATAGCTGGGCTTGTAAGCCTCCGAATGGGCCAGGGTGGTCTCTAGCTGCTTTCTTTCATGTTTTGAAAAACATCCCACCCCCTGGATGAGGACACGGTGGTCCTGACTTTCAGGCTTAATGAAGAGATGGACAGGAAGGAGACAGCTCAGCAAATTCAGGGCACCCAGCCCAGCCGGCCTGAACTCCCATCCCCTGAAGGCCAAGTGGGACTAGAAGCAGCACGTGGGTCTCGATGGCACCAATTATTCTCCTTCCTGGTGGCCTTTTAACCACCGCTCACACCCAGGCCTTTCTGGAAAGTGTTTGCTACCTGGCCATAAAGCAGAGGAGGGCACCGGCTTAGATGAGTCACAGTTCAAAGGCGCGCACGGCCAAGACAAATCACATAAACGAGCAGCCCCTGAGGAGTGCCGACAGGCAGCTTCAACCCGGCTCCAGCTAACTTCACTACGCGGGCCAAGCCTGGAGGGATCTTCCGATTTTTCAAGAGGTCTTTTATGTAAAATTGCCTGAATTCTAAATGTTGACAGCCAATTAAAAAAAGAAAAGACCTAACAGAATACGCCTGTGAGTCAGGTTCTCTGTGGGCTTCCAGTTGGCTCTGACCACACAGGCTGCATGGGGCATCCTCGCCCTATAAGGTAATTCCTCTGCCCTCTGTGCTGACATTTCTCAAAAAAATAAAAAAAAAAGATTTGGGGCAGAGATGGAAACTCCAGGTTTACATAAAGGAAAAGATAAACCATAAGTATGTATGTCCCCGTTTGCATATTTAACCTTAGACTGTATGTGCTTCTTTAGAAAACAAAGCCTTTGATGTGACCTAAAGGGGTGCGCAGTGCAGAACTAGGGGTAATGCTAATGCCTCCACTGGCTGATCGGAGTCCAGGTAAACACATTCTCATTACCTGCTTCTCCACTTTCTAGAACACGAGAGTAAGAACAACTGCCTATCATTTCTGACACCTGAAGGTGAGTGAATCCTGAAGGGAAGAAGGCCTGTTGGAGAAAGTTCCTCATGTGGATACTCTTTCTGGGAACTGATCATTAAACACACCCTCTGACAGGGCTAAAGTTGACCAGTTCTACACAGAAATATCATCAAATCCAGAGTTTAGATAAATCGAATGAAAGAGGGTGAAGTTTCGGATCATCCCTGTATTATTTACTTATATACTGTTTTGTTCAACTAAGAAAAAGGTGCCGAACCCCCAAATCAATGTTCTCCAGCTGCTGTGGAAGTTTCGGCTGTGCTGCAGAGTAGGTAAGAGTATTTCTCAAAGTTGAGGGTCAAGTCAATTGCAGTGATGTGATCTGGGAAGAGCCATTCAGTCTCATAAGAAAAACGAGCAGAGCATCTCCAAAGAATGCATTAGTCAGATCTTGCTTAACCTGAAGGAGAGCTCAACAGGGTGGGGCAGCGAGCAGGAGTTCCGCACGGCTGCAGCTGCCAAAGCGAGCATGAGAGACGAGGGAAAAGTCATCCTACACAGTTCAGCGACGAGCCACCCCATCCCCTCACGTGGCCTTGCAGCCACAGGTCAGCACTGAAGACCAGGTGAACCCACAACTATCTGGGGAGCGACGTTCATCTACTGTCTAACCTGAGCACACCCCGGAGGCTTCCGATGGGGAACTTGGCCCCAGAACAGCCATTACCTTCTGCCACTTCGTAGCCCAGCTTCCTTGAAAATCATCAAAGTAAAGTTGCCCTGCAATCAGACAAAAACTTTACATTAAAATCACTTTTTCAGGGACTTGCCTGGCAGCCCAGTGGTTAGGACTCCGCGCTCTCACTGCTGAGGGGCCTGGGTTCAATCCCTGGTCGGGGAACTAAGATCCCACAAGCCGCGCAGTGCAGCCAAAAAATAAATAAAATCACTTTTTCAAACCCAATTCTTTCTGGTTTCTAGTTTTACACAGCCAAGATTTCTTACCGGTCTAAGCTTCAGAGCATGCAAGAAGTTACGCTGAAGTTCTGAAAGGAGCCTTATCTATACAGGGCCCTGGCTGTTCCCTCTGACTCCTCTGCCATATGAAGAAGAAAAAACAACGCCTGCTGGTTTCCTCTCCGTGTACCGTGCATGTTTTGGTGCAGCAACCAGAAAACTGGTGTGGGCGGGAGATGGTGTGGGACCGCAGCACATATAATGGGACCAGTCCACAGACACCGACACGAGATGCTATCCATGTAAGCTGTACTCCAGTGGACTAAAACAGCATCTCAGGGTTAAAAAGAAACAACAGTATATTAAGTGCATATGTAGCCATTTATGATACTGATAATAGCTAACACTCATATCTCTTGCTACTATGTGCCTGGTGGTATTCTAAGTGCTGCACATATAAGGGTTCACTGAATTCTCACAACAACCCCCATGAAGTACGAACTACTGTTATCATCCCCATTTTACAGACCAGTAAACTGAGACACAGAAAGGTTAAGTAACATACCCAGATTCACACAAATAAGTGTGTAAGTGGCAGACCTGGGATTCAGACCCAGGCAGTCCAGCTCCAGGGCTGTGCCCTCACCCACCATTACACACTGACTAAGATATCTGTGATTTCAGAGACACTGAGATGTGAAGAAAAAAAAAAAATGTCTTGGCATTACAATATATTTATAACGTTCAGTGCAAAAGGCGTTGTCAGGTGTGCCTTCCCTGCTATTTTTCCAGACAAAAGCGTGGCAGGTGTTCACACCTTTGCTCTTCCTTCCTTTGGCTTATCAGCAAATGGTTGTTGAGGACCTGCCCTGGGTCAGACAGATGGTGCTGGGGATACAGACAATTCACACAAATTTCAACACAGACGAGGCCACGGAGCACAACCGCACAGTCAGGCACACCCACCCCTACACACACACACACACACACACACACACACACACACACACACACACACACACACACACACACACACACACACACACACCACCACTCACAGGGTAAACGGCCTAGACTCACACACTCATTAAGATGGGTTTCCAGCATTTGGAAGCTGTATAAAGTGCCTTGTTCTAATTTGCACAAAGGCGCCCACGGGCGAGCAGCCCAGTTACTGTGCCCCCATGTGTGCACCAAGAGAGGAAGCAGCACCCAGGAAGTGGTCGGCCCTGCCTGGAGGGGATCAGCAAAGGTTTCACAGAGGAAACCGACTCAGCAGAAGGAGGTGAAGGGGTAGGAAGAGGGCTTCAGATTTGCAGAAATGACGAGCAGAGGGAGAACAGAGGGGCAGAAACGAGAGCTGCAGAAGTACGGGGAGCAGAAGGGGAGCCACAGGAAATGGGTCTAGGAATAGAGGCGGTTACTGCTCAGAAAGGCCCTCTACCCTGCGCTTCTAGGTCTAGAAATAGAGGCAGTTACTGAAAGGCCCTCTACCCTGCGCTGCTGGGTCTGCTCTGCAGGTGAGGAGCTGCAAGTGGGAGGAGAGGGGTGCGGCGCGAGCAGCCAGGTGACTTCTGCGACAACTCAGACCAGCGCAGTAAGGCTGGATCAAGAGGGTGGTTTCTTAAAATATTTAGGACCGTTCTTATGTATTTGCTAATTTGTACACCAACTTCGTCCAAAAAGGATGATGGGGCTAACAAGGACATGCATATCAGAAGAGAAGTAAATAAATGGATGAGGAAATGAAGACAAATGGAAAATAATTTTAAGAAAAGAAACACAGCTGGGGTAAAGTTAGTGTCCCAAATTACACACTGTCATGCACTTAGACATTTCCTCAAGGTGGCCACGGATTTGACACTGAGCTTCCTATCTGCTCAGCAGAAAAGGCAGCCTCGGCATCTACAAGGTCCAGAGCATCCATGGAGGAGTACCACACCTGCTAATAACACACCAAGCCTGAGAAAGATCTCTCCCACACATGTTCAGAACGGGAATCTCTCAAGTGGCTGGTGTTACAAACAGCATCCCCAGATTTTTCTCTTTAAGTTCATAACTTTCAAATGACTATTTTTTATAACATTTCATAATGAAAACCACAATCACAGTCCACGAAAAAAACATAAACAGAATTTTACAAGTGTCCCAAGCAGTGAGGACTCAGTAGGAAGCTCTGCTGGGCTACCTTGACTCCGTGGAGAGGTAAGGCAGTCGTGATCGACCTGCTCTCCATTTGCCAAAGCGGGGTGAAGGGACTGGGGTGGGAGGCGAGAAAGGGGGCTCAGTCTCTACTCCTGTTTAACCAGCTTCAGTTTACCTGCTCCGTCAGCTAGCTTTTGAATAGAGTGTTCAGCAGGCCCTAATCTCACAGAAAAAATTCAAAAAGGTGCTGTAAAACTAGAGATAGACTTTAGGCTACCTCTAAGAATGTGACATTTTAAAACTAAGCTTTTGATAAGAATTGGAAATATTTAAACTTGATGTGAAAATCTGCTAGAAACTTAAATTCAATTAGTCTATTACACAGCCAATCAAGAAAAGAATTTTTTTGCTTTACCATTAACCAAGCGGAAAGGGTCGCGACCCATTTTGAAAATTAAGGGACTGGTTAGCCACAGGAAGACGGAACAAAGTACAGGCAAGGTCTCTCCAGAAAGCAGTCCTAAGTAGCTCTGCTCTGATATACGAAGGGTGACTTCAGCCTCCAAAGGCCAATGGTCTACAAACTTCTTTCAAAGTACTGAATCCCTTTCTAGAGCCAAAGGACAATCTGTTAGACAGCTGCGGGAGCTGGCACAGGGCAGGAGGGCCCTCCTGGCTGCCTCCCCTCGAGTCCCCGACCAGATGAAGGAGGTCTACAGAATATCGCTAGGGCGATGAACAGAAGCTCCCCTGAGGGTTCCAGCCACAGGCAGGATCTGACCTGGGAAGAGTAGAAGCAGTACCGTGGTGCAATCTCAACCTCTGTGCACATCAGAATCACCTGAGGAGCAGCTCAGGGTCACGAAGCTATTCCACACCAGAGCTGTGACATGCATCTGTCTTGACACCGGAGGCCCTGGTCTTTCCACTGAGTGACGAAACACACATTACAGACCACAGATTTCAGAACAACCAGCCTCTCATACAAGTGATACGCGCTGTCCAAAAGCCACTCCAAAAGTTCACAGGTGCCACTGTATCCCCAAGTCATAATTTCAGGGGTCAAGACAGAACAAAGAGACATAAAATCCACTCAGAAGGAGAAGGAGAGAGAGGTCTTCCCTATTTGTTGAATGACACTGCCCACAGCTACTGCCACTCTTAAGGACTACACATCCTTCCAGCCTTTATAAAATGAAACCATGACGGGGAGGGAGGGCAGAGGAGGGGAGAGAATCAGGCTTAAGAAAACAGACATGAAAAAATTAAGGCAGTAAGAATTAAAATTAGAGTGAAAGAATAAGGAAGGAATAAAGCCAAAAAGACCAATAGAGGAAAAAACAGAATTTAAGAAGTAGGAATAGCAAAAAAGAAATAAAACAGGCCTAAACTTTAAAAGAATGAAATTATATTTGAGATAAGGGAGACAAAAAAGGCTAATAACAAAACCCAAAAGTATAACAGCATGCAAGTAAATGTGATAAAAGATTTTTTTAAAAACTAAAAGAACATAAATGTTCTCACCAAAAATAAATAAATAAATGTTAAGGGATGGATTTGTTAACTAACTCATTAGAGGGAATGCTTTCACAGTGTTTACGTTATGTATATCAAATCACCACAGTTGTATACTTTAAATATCTTACAATTTTATTTGTCAATTATACCTCAGTAAAAATGAAAAAGAAAAAAAAAAAGTTGATGATGTTAAAATGAGGCCAGTAGGGTAGAGCTCTAATCCATTATGACTAGTGTCCTCATATGAAGAGGAAGAGACGCCAGGGATGCAGGTGCACAGAGAAAACCATGGGAAGAACAAGACCACCTGCAAGCCAAGGAGAGAGGCCTCAGAAGAAACCAACCTGCCAACACCCTGGTCTCCAACTCCCAGTCTCCAGAACTGTGAGAAAATAAATTTCTGTTGTTGAAGCCCCTTCCCCCAAATTAAAAGACTAAGAAGGTAAGCATTTAAAAACTTAAGCATAGAAACATTAGTGCCAGCTTACCAGTTTCGGCTCTGGAGTCTTAGAATAACCAAAGGCTTCTAGAGGAATAATCTCTATTCTGAATTCAGGATAATCCCAGGCAAGCACCCTGGCATGAGTCAGCTTTCCCCCTTGGTTAAGCTGAGTTAAAAATGTTGAGGGCAGGGGATGGTGGTGGGATGAATTGGGAGATTGGGATTGACATATATACACTAATATGTATAAAATAGATAACTAATAAGAACCTGCTGTATAAAAAATAAATAAAATTTAAAAAATATAGTTTAAATAAAGGCAGTTAATTGTAAAAAACAAACAAACAAAAAAAACACCTACAAAGACACACACAAGAAAAGACAGAAAGTAGAGCCTACTTTGAACAATAACAATTTACTCAAATCTGGGAGATATTTCCACTAATTACAGTGTGAATGAAGACAGAGACACACACCAGTGGCCAACTGCAGCCCCGCCTCTGAAAGGTAAGAGTACAGTTGCCAGGAAGTGCATGGGAAGAGGGTGCAGCAGCCCTTCGCCTCTCTCCACCCCTAGCCCAAAGTTTCTGGGTTTGTAGCAATCAGGAAACAGGCAGCCAGCCCCAGAGTGGGTGAGTCCTGACAGCCACTCTCCCTACACCAACCGGAAGTTCTTTTTCTATATCCATTCCAAGACTACAATCCTTATCAGTACAAC